TAGTTATGGCAGGACAACGGCTTGCCGTGTGCATGACTTGGTTCTGGAATTTATCAGCTCCATTTCTATTGAAGAAAACTTTTGTACTGTATTGCATGATAAGAAGGGCAAATCAGCTGCGATAACAAGTAAGGTCCGCAGGTTATTTCTGCAACTCCAGGATGTTGAGATGCCTCAGGGGAGATTGATATTGTCCCACATGAGGTCACTTACTGTGTCGGGTGGCAGGGTTGACAAAATGTCACCCCTTTCTTTTTCCCATCAATTACGTCTATTGGATTTGGAGGACTGCTATCTTGTGGAGCAACACCATGAATTACTTGAGCATCTCGGGAGTTTATGCCAATTGAGATATCTTGCGTTGGGAGATGTATACCTCAGTGAGCTCTTATTGGCGATCCAAATTGGTCAGCTAAAACATCTGATATGCTTAAGAGTTGGCCGTCACTTCAAAATCAAATTCAGGCCAGGTGTGGTTAGGGAACTGGAGTGTCTGCAAGAGTTGTCAGTGATCAGCTTGTCTGAGTCTCCGCACGTTGCCAAAGAGCTAAGGCATTTGACTAAACTGAGGGTTCTTGGTATCTCTTTCGAAGATATGCCTGACGAGAGCTTGAAGGGTTGGCTTTTGGAGTCTCTATGTCACCTGGAGAATTTGCAGAGCTTAATTCTGAGAGGCAGCTTTTTTGGTTGTGTATCTTTGGATTTCTTTGGGGAAGACTGGACATCCCCTCCTCGCAACCTCCGTAGATTTGGTTCATCATTTGGATCCTTCTCCTATCTGCCGTCGTGGATCAGCCCGTCAAATCTTCGGGAGCTGTCGATCATAGATATGGAGCTGGGCCACCTGCGGCAGGAGGATCTTGACATACTTGGTTCCTTTCCTTCTTTGCAATCCCTCCAGCTGAGTGGCTACAAGAATATCTGGGATGAAAAAAGGGAACAGTGGCCGGTGATCAGTGCTGGTACTTTCCAGTGCCTGCGGGACTGTCAGTTGTGGGTACTTCCCACAGGGGGGAATATGTTCGGACCAGGAGTTATGCCCAAGGTACATACCCTTCAATTTGATTGTTACGTTGAGGATGTATTTAGCTTGGGTTTGGCAATCCTCCCATCTCTCCATGATAGCTTGGGCTTGGAGAACCTCCCTTCTCTCCAGGAGCTCCGTGTTTGGTTCAGAGAATTCACCGATGGGTCCGTCACCCGAGAAGCATATGACAAAGCGGAGGCTGCAATTAGGTGTGCAGCAGACAACCATCCCAACCGCCCCACCCTTGAGTTGGGCATGTGGTTCTGTCCATCATGGGCATAGTTTCCTTGTTGTATGCATATCTTAACTCTGAAGTGGAACTGTGTACCTATGTAGTGTGTTGCGTGAGCACTGTTTTTCTTTTATTGTAATACTACAATTTTTGTACGTTTTATACTACTTCATTGTGTCTTTAGCCATTTAATAACTTGGACGACAATCGTTATGCTTTTTGCAAATCTGTGGAACATCCCCTGTACGGAAGGCTTGTGAAGAACCATGCCCTTCCCTGGTCTGTGCATGTCTGAGAATCTTATCGAGCTGCCCAAGATCTCACAGTTTAGTTTTGTGCTGACATCTGTGGGACAAGCGAGAAAGGGAGAAAAATTAACGAATTAGTAAAAACCATCAGCCCCCAGCAAGTGCGTGGTAGCCACAATGTCGCAGCGACAAGGAGGTATATCAGGATTTGCAACAAACACAGCAAAGGCAACAAAACAGAGTTCCTGACAACGCACGTCAAGAACAAAAGAAAGGCAAGGCGATGGCTGCCATAACCCAAGAAAGAGGAAGAGTATGTGCAGCCACGCAAAAACAAATGCGCGACCAAATCGCGTGCCCGCATTCTCTCCTCCATCCCCCCTCTTTGCCTCACCGTCGCCCGAGCCCCTGCCAGTGAAGGCATGTTTAGCTTAAGTAGCAGTTTTCTTGATTGATTCACAAGGCTATTCCTTAATTTCTGTTTCCTTGCCTCATGCACATAGTCAGGCTGTCTGTCATTTCTTCTCTCTAGATCAAAGGTTCAACCATGCCTTGCAACTAGTGCTGGGCTACTGCCATTGCGAACAAGCTCATTAACTCGTGTACGGCATTTGGATCGTTATTTGCCTCCTCCTTTTTTCAGTGATACTACATCTTTTTTTAGAGAAGGAGGATCACCCCGGCCTCTGCATCTGAGCGGCTTCGTCTTGCACAGAGCTTCGTGGAGATGTCGTGCGTAGCACTTGCCGGCCAGGGATGACTTGACATCTCCACGAAGCTCCGTGCAAGACGAAGCCGCTCCACCTCCTGCCTCTGACCACCAACACTGCTCCACAAACGATGCTCCCAAAAGAGAAACGCCACCACAGTGCCGCCCATCCTGCTTCAATAGCAGATTTCTGCTCCTCATATGGTTCTGAAAATAACTTCCAGAGTTTCAGTTGACATGCCCATCCTGCTCGGTGCCATACATGTGCTTATTCAGTTGTACTATCTTCATTATTGGCTATTGGCCAACTGCCATTCAAGAATGATAATACTGCTTGAATTTTATGGTTTTATTATCAACTGAAACCTGAGGCACATCCACTGAAACTCTGAGTGGGCATGTCGACTGAAACTTAGGCACATCCACTGCACACAATGTCTGTGGCTGAAAACTCTCATGTTTGGTGATGTTCCTGGTTTTTAGCTTGGTGATCTACTGATGCGAACAATAGAAGCCCCTGTTATGCAGTGCAGCAGTGCCTTCTGAGCACATTCAACAAGAGTGTGCATGATCAGCAAGGACGCACAATTTTCATTTACCGAAGCATCTGAGGAACTTTGGTACAAATGCCTTAAGTCTTCTCAAGAGATCGAGTGCTAGCCCGGCCGGTGGGGGCGGCGGCGGGGCCTCTTCTTCCTCCCCCTCGTGCTCCGCGGCTGGCGCGAGATGGCCGGTCGAGTGGGGGCGGCGGGCTTTGGCGGGGCCGGCGGCGCGGCGGCGGGCTCGGAGTTCGGCGGCGGGGTGGCCTGTTGGGGACGCGACGTCGAGCGGCGAGCTCGTTTGTGGCGTGGCGGCCGCGGGGTTCCCGATCTGGGCGGTGGCGTGCTCGCGCGGATCCGGCCCGATCCTCCCGGATCCGGCTCCTGGATGGCGGCGGGCGGCGCAGGGCGGTGGCCGAGGTCGGTCTTGACCTCGGAGTGGGGTGGGCTGCAGCGGCGCTGCTGCGGCCTGGTGGTTGTCCGATCTGCACGCGGCAACGACGGCTCTTCTGGCGGCGGTTCGTCTGCGTCGGACTCGGGTGAGCTCCCTCCCTCTTCTTTGGACTCAGCGACGGGCTCGTCAGGCCGGGGTGGCGCCATGGTGTGGTGGTGCGCGCGAGGCCTACTGGTGGTGGCAGGGGACTTCGGGAAGGGGCAGGGTGCCCCCTCCGTTGCATCTGGCGGCTGCCGTGGGTGGCCGCCGGAGTTCCCCTGGCCCTGATCCGGTCGCCGAGGTCACCGATCATGCCAAGGTGTCGACTTTGGGGTGGAAGGCGAGCTTCCGCTTCGTTCTGGTCAGCCGCGTCCGTTCGGTGTGTCCTGGTTGAGGGTGGGGCTCAGATGCCGTGGCGGCGGCCCGGTTGGTGGTAGCCGGGGTGCTCTTGGGCGGAGCACATGGCTCGGGCGTTGTCCGGTCAGCATGGTCGTGTGGGCGGCGTGTTGACCGGGGTGGGTCGTTCATCCAATCCGGTGACGATGAGTGTTGGCCGGGGTGAAAACCCGTTCTGCTCTGCCAGGCCGACGGCGGCGGCGTTCCAGCGTGTCCCCTTCTTGAAGGCGCCGTCGCGGCATCTCATTTGTCGTCGGAGTGCTCCGGGGGAAACTCTAATCCTTGGATTGGGCGGTGGCGACACGATGGTGTCGTTTCCTTGCTGAAGGCGCCGCTTTGGAGCTCATTGTTCGTCCTACTCGGCTTCTCCTCTTCGCGGTGGCCCGCCCACGGTTGAGGGCCCCGACATCATCATAGTAGTACTGATTGTGTTCATCTGATGTTGGCTAGGATTTTGTCGGGTAGTGTTGCTGTTATCAACGTCCTTGTATCCAGCCTTGAGTGTGTGTGGTGTGTGTGTGTGTGTGTTTGTATCAGCAGGATTCGGTTGTTCGGTGATACTTTATCTATAAAGTGGGGGGAAACCCTTTTTCTCAAATGGCTTTGGGTCTCTGTACGCGTGGATGCACATTTCGGTGCCCTTTTGAACTTAATTATATTAGCGACCACATGCAGGCAGCGCATGCTACTTGGCGTCCTTTTCCCAATTCTTCGAGGAGTAGTTAGCATCCAAGATTGATTAACTGTTAACAACTTTTGGTTGAGCAACGTGGGACGAACATGCAACTACTAGGCATGGATCAATGCACGCGGAGTGTCCTAACCCCACTACTTTGAGGATAGCTAGCGCTAGCATATAAAGTAATGTTAATTAATCAACAATCTCGGAACAACACAGCTTTTGCTTGAGCAATATGCCTATGGTGGTTCCTGGAAATTGTTGTTGCTAATTTAATAACAGCCTATTGGCTTGAGTGTGTGCACGGCAAACGGCGGCGACCCCGTCTACCTTACATCACTCCACCGTGGTACCACTGCGAAAATCCTGACTCAGTCGCGCACTCCTCCCCTCCTCTTTCCGCAACGCCGGCATTCGAGCGAATTGGTTCTGCGGCCGCCAAAGTCGAGTTCTGAGCCGGCCATCCTTAGCGGCTGGTTCGATCCCAGTAGGTATGATCCCATCTCCCCCTTGCTTGTCATGGTTTCATATCCTCAAGCCTTCTTCCTAGCTTTGTCTTCCGCCGACATGTGATCGCTCTGTAACTTGATGAGTGCTTAGGCTTAGTGGCTTACTTTGATTCATTCTATTTTCAGGGTCTAGATTGACGACACAAATCTTGACGCTTATTGTTGTTGTTGCATTTGACCTGCTACAGTACCGTCCAGGACAACCGAACTGAAACACACTACCCTACTATGGAGGGGGTTCTGGTGAGTGCAGCTGCAGGGGCCCTGAACTCTGTCCTGGAGAAGTTGGGTACTCTGCTGGTGAACGAGTACAACCTGCACAAGGGGGTGCGCGGTGAAATCAAGTCTCTGACCGATGAGCTTACCGCCATGCACGCCTTTCTCCTGAAGATGTCGGAGGAGGAGGATCCTAATGTGCAAGATAAGGTATGCTTGGCCACTGTGCGGGAGCTCTCCTATGATATAGAGGACTCCATCGATGACTTCATGCAAGACGAAACCAACAAAGAAGTTAGGCCAGATGGCTTCATAAGTAAGATCAAGCATATTCTCGGGAAGTTGGGGAAGAGGAAGGCTGACCATAAGATATTCCAAGATTTGAAGAAACAAGTCATTGAAGCAGGCAAGAGGAATGCAAGGTACAATACACGTCAGGCCTTCTCCAACACAAAAAATGCAACAATTGACCCTAGAGCTTTTGCTATCTTTGAGCATGCCTCAAAACTCGTTGGAATTGATGAATCCAAGTCAGAGGTAATCAAACTATTGACTGAAGGTGCGTCAACAGGTGAGAGACTAAAGCTGGTCTCCATCGTAGGATCTGGAGGAGTGGGCAAAACAACTCTTGCAAACCAAGTGTACCAAGACCTCAAAGAAAGATTTGAATGTCGAGCCTTCTTATCTGTGTCGCGGAATCCAAATATGATGAATATCATGAGAACTATTCATAGTCAAGTTAGTGGTCTATGTTTTGCTGACACCGAGGCAGGGAGCATTCAGCAAGTCATCATCAATATTAGTTGCTTCCTTTCATACAAAAGGTACCATTTCTATTCCATGGCAACTTGTCGTCGTACAATATATATAACTAAGGAAATTTACATAAAAACCTTACCAGTAATTTGTAAAAAGGAACACACAATTCCATGTAACTCTTGTTCATATGTTCTCATATGTTGTTAGAAAGTGTTTTTTTTAATGTTTGTAGTGAACATCATGGCGATATCATGTGAAAAGAAATGGAAAGAGTACCAACAATGACCTATAATATGAAGATCTGTTCGGGAATTATGTTATTTTTCTTTTCTTTTGATATTGTAGCATCTTGAAGAAAAAGCTACTGCCGCCATTGAGTATATGACATAACCTAGTGTAAGGAGTTGATTGTGTAGCCCTTGTTGCAAAAGTTCATTTTCCTCCCTATACAATCGACTTTGCTCGCGTTTTTTTCTAATTCTTTTGGGCTCCAAATCTCCCATGCCCTAAACCATTTTTTTCTGGAGAGTTATACCGTTCAAAATAATTAGTGAGGATTGATTACAGGAATGAATTAAATTTGTACTCCCTCTATTTTTATTTACTTCCCATATTAGCTTCGTCTCGGGTCAAACTTTCTAAACTTTGACTAAGTTTACACAAAAAATAATTAACATCCACAATACCAAGTCTACGCCATTATAATCATCATTCAATATATTTTCATACTATCATATATATTTTTATTGCGAAAGTTTAGATTGTTTTTAATAAACTCGGTCAAACTTTATAAAGTTTGACTTAGGTTAAAGCTAATATGTGGAGTAAACAAAAACAGAGGGAGTAGCATATACTAGTTCAAAAAAGTGCTAGCTGAAAGTTTCTAATTTTGCCTCTGCCTAGTGCTTTATTTTCCCAAAGCACAGTTTAAGAATGATTACATGTTAGGTGATCTGTTGTTGCCTAGCGCCTACTCATGCCTTGGCATGCTTTTTAAACAATGATTTTAACATGTGTATCTTTCTTACATAGGAGTACTTATTATGTTGTCAATATGCTCAAATATCTTGTATTTATTTGTCTATCTTGTTATACACCCTTTATATTAAATCACACTAGTAACACCTATGAATCCTTGTGCAGGTATTTTGTTGTCATTGATGATATATGGGATGTGGATGCGTGGAATGTTATTAAGTTTGCATTCCCCATGACTGAATATGGTGGCGTAATAATTACCACAACTCGTATGGGTGACGTTGCATGCTTGTGTCGTTCATCAATCGGCGGCCATATTTACAATATACAGCCTCTTAATATGGTGCACTCAAGACAACTGTTTCACAGAAGATTGTTCAATTCCGAAGAAGATTGCCCTTCATCACTTGAAATGGTTTCTAGCCAAATCTTGGAAAAGTGTGATGGCTTGCCACTGGCAATCATTGCTATATCTAGTTTGTTGGCTAACATAGAAAGAACAGAGCATCGATGGAGCCAAGTGAAAGATTCAATTGGTCGTGCTCTCGAAAGGAACCCCAGTGTCAAAGGAATGATTAAGATATTGTCACTTAGTTACTTCGATCTTCCTCCTCATCTGAAAACGTGCCTCTTGTATCTGAGTATATTCCCAGAAGATTCTATTATTGAGAAGAAGGGTTTGATAAGAAGATGGATTGCCGAAGGATTTGTTTACAAAGATAGCATATATAAGGCATTTGAGTTAGGAGAGAGGTATTTTAATGAGCTCATCAATAGAAGTTTGATCCAACCCGTGAAGCTGGGAATATATGGTGAAGTGCGATCTTGCCGAGTTCATGATACAATTCTTGATTTCATAGTATCAAAATCCATCGAAGAGAACTTTGTTACTTTCATTGGTGTCCCCAGTTTACCTATCAGGGCACAAGGAAGAGTTCGTCGCCTCTCCATGCAAGTTCAAGGGGAAGGAAATCATGTCATGCCAATGACCCTAGTATTATCCCATGTTCGATCACTTAATGTGTTTGCGGATATAGTGGAAATCCCTTCAATGATGGAGTTCAGGCATTTGCGCAGTATGGACTTTGGAGGATGCAATCCATTGGGCATTTGGGGATGCAGACAGTTAGAAAACCACCATCTTGCAAATGTAGGAAGGTTGTTTCAGCTAAGGTACCTCAACATTTCCGTGACACATGTAAGCAAACTCCCAGAACAAATCGGAGATCTTCAGTGCTTAGAGATGTTGGACATAAGGGAGACAGAGGTACATAGTTTACCGGCGGGTATTGTCAATCTTAGAAAACTGAAACACTTACTAGTTGGCAATGGTCTTACATTTCCTGACCAAATTGCGAAGATGCAAGCACTCGAGATTTTGAAGTGTGTGGATATCTCCAGCCAGTCATATAAATTTCTGGAAGGGCTTGGGCAGCTAAAGAATCTGAGGAAGTTGCACCTTTATTTTGAGGATATTGAGGAATATCAACAAATTGAAGTTACTGCTTCTTCTCTCCGTAACCTAGGCACACATAACCTTAGTTCTCTAAAAATGGAGTTTCTTGACGACAACACCTCACTGGATACAGCATGGTGCACTTCCCCACCGCTTAACCTCCAAAAACTTGGGACTACTTATTGTCTCCTCCCAAAGGTTCCTGATTGGGTAAAATCACTAGCCAACCTTCAGAAGTTACGCTTGCAAGTGGAGAGAATCAGGGATGAAGATCTGTGCATCCTGGGAGCCTTGCCTGCTCTGCTCATGCTGAATCTCGAAGGAGCGGAAGATCAGACCCCTTGTGAAGACAGAAGGCTAACAGTCAGTGCTGAAGCTGGGTTTAAATGCCTGAGCATGTTTAATTATTTCGCGCAGGGAGATGGGATGGATCTCGTGTTTGCAGCAGGATGCATGCCCAAGCTAGAGAAACTGGTGATTGTCTTTTACAGGTGTTCTGAAAAAGAGACTCTCAGCAGCAGTCCTGGTGCTTTGGATTTCGGAATGGAGAACCTCTCCAGCCTCCTTACATTCGAATGTCAATTAGATTCGAAAATCAACAAGAGTACTGTTGGCGCCGTAAAGGCTTCTCTGGAGAGAGCAGTCGGTGCACATCCCAACAAACACCTTACTCTAATCTTCAAGGAAAAGACTGATCGATATTGGTGAATAAAGTACAGGCACACATGTATGTATACTCTCTCTCTCTCTCTCTCTCTCTCTCTCTCTCTCTCTGCATTGTAATATCTCACTCTTAAATTCTTACTTTTCCCAATCATTTGCAGTGCTTCAATCGGTTGCTGCTGCACAGCACTTGATGATGGCATTCTGATGGATATTACCAGCGGCGAGTCTTGCTTCAACAATTAACCCCAATACATGCATTGGACTGGTAGTGGAATGACCACTAATCTACCTCAGCAAATTAAGTTGCATGTTGGGTGCTAAGCTAACTGGCTCGGAAGGAAACTGTCAGAGATTACTGATTCATGTGGTCCGTGTGGTACAAAATTGTAGAATTGGTTAAGACTGCTACTGTACTGCCTCATGGGCATTGTTTTGGTCGTTTGATTAGTTGCATTTTCTGTAATAATCAGTCATCTGTGTTGATGGTTTAATATTGTTGGACGACCATTCTGTAGGTCGTCGTCATTCTGTAGTTGCCATGCTCTTTGGCAGGTCGTCATTCTGTAGCCGTACTCTTTTATCCACCTCTAGTCGTCGTGCTCTTTTATCCACCTTTAGTCGTCGTGCTTTTATCAAGGAAGCTTTTGTGCGCTTGTTACAGTTGGGCTGAACACTTGATTAGCTCTGCTTCTTCTCATTAGTTCTCTCAACAATTTGGATTTGTTGTTATATATGGCCGTTTACGGTTGTTAACAGCTTAATAGATGCCTGCCACCTGGTATGTTATACTGTCGAATAAACTTTTATTTTACAGTCCATCTGTTAATCATCTGCAGTGGCAACCAGATCCGTACTGACCAATTGGGCACTTGAGTGTTGTGGCTGATCGATGCTGTTGGCAACCAGATTAATTCCTGCAGTCGACAATTCCATTACAGAGTTTTCATTCAAAAAACGTGTGCTCTTTCTGACAGGGTGAAAAGTGCCTTCAGTTAGAGACTAGCACAACGAATGCACCCAGACCCAGCTGCCAACACAACCGAGTTAAACACTGAACCGCTGATTCAACTCACCAGGACAGAAACACATGTATACAAGTGTGCAAGTTGCAGGCCGCTGCACTTCGGCATACCACAGAGTTGTATTGTTCACACTTACGCACTTTGTTCAACTCGATGACACAACAACAAGTTTATTGTTATTTTCCTTCTTCTTCTTTCGTGATACATCTTATCTGGGTGATCTAGGAATGGAGACGCTCTCTGTTTCCTGGATGAAGATGATGCTGACGGATTTGCGCATCCAATTTGCTACCAGCTGTCCTCGAAGATCGCATCCGGAACTCTGTGAATTCTTCACAGATGCTTTCGGTAGCAGACGTTTAGACACCCAGCAACACTCTCTTGTTCAATGGGCTCAAAACATGTTGTTTGTACCGCATGACGGTTGAGGGTAAGGGCATCTTCAACGTTGACCCTCAAACCGTCCACAACCGCACAGTCCGGACGTATTTCATCATCCAACACGGGCCTGTATTGGTCCACCGACCAGCCCGGATGTGCTTTTCCCGCAAACCAGA